AGTTTCATGATATATTTCAATTGCTCAGATTTTAATTGATTAAATATGGGTTGTAGTACCTTTAAGTTGGAAATTAGATCCTAAAGGAGGACTCGCTTAGCAGTCAAAATACGCTAGTCGTAACGCCCTCTCATCTATTTTCTCTAGTTTATTTTGACTTCCTTTGCTACAAAACATATATATGAACGGGCACTAGTCAAAATGACATGAAGCTTGAGATGTTCGTCAATTGTAACTCTAAGTTAAGTTACATGGCTATCTACTATTATCGTAAACTCATTGTTTATTTTAAATTTTTCTGTATGTTTACCCCTATTTCCAGTGTTAATAGCTATAAATAATAATAGAGAGATTTGCAGTCATTTCGCTCAATTTAAACCACTTCAGGCACTTATTGGTGTTGTGTTGTCATCAGCAAAATTGCACAGTGATCCATTATCAAGGTAGTAAAAAGCATGAACAAGAATTGATACAATAAAAAAACAACTTTGTACAAGAAATGAACAGATATTTAGTACGACGTTTCGAGCAGAACTCCTCATCCGGTCAAATTTATTGGTAAAAATCACAATTTATGAAAATATTAAAGAACAGAAGGCCAAATATCAACCCTTATGGTACATCATGTAAAATCTTTCAGCTCACAAAACTTACTTCTGACACTATTGATATTCAGATGAGATTTTTGGGTTTTCCAAGTCTAGCCTGTGTTAATCTGTTATGATATACAGTCATTTCATAGCTCTTTCAGGATGCATAGGATTGCAGCATTACTTTATTGAGTCATGCTGAATGAATGGCCTTACTGCCATCCCTAAAGTTCTAAGCAAGTTTTGCGCCAACCCTTTTAATTAAAATGAAGTCCACTTTTGTTTAAATCTTCTGCGGTAACATTATTGTTATCAATGAAATTAAAGTTTTTACTTTTGCTTATATCAAACAAAATGCCGTTGAGCTGCTGAATTTTGACGTCAAGATTTTGATGCTAAGCTTGATAAAAGATGCTTAAAATGAAAATTCTGCACAATGACGAATGCTATGAGTGCAAGACAACACAGTTTGGGATGCTTGCTATACTGATATCCTTGAGTTCTTTAGCTTCCATTCCCCGTATGCTTTTTTCTTTACCCACACATGCAAAGCCCTTGAGAGATTGTGAAGAAGGATGTACTTAAAAGTTAATTAGATATATTTTAGGAAAAGTTCTAAATTTCCACATCCCATTTCTTCAAAGAGACAGATGCTTGCAGCTTTTTTACCATGGGTCATCACATACAAAAGAACCGAACATTCCATATTATGCTCGCAGTTATTCCACCCGCCCTCCTTTGTTAGCAGCTGAAAGCTTTCAGACTCAGAAGTATAAGAAATGTAAACAGATACAAATAGCAGATGCAAAACTACCTTGTCTCTGTAATGAATGAATAGTTTCATATAGCTTTGTATAATTATAATATGCTAATTACAAAGTTCTTTCATTGCTTTCTCCAGCTTGCCTTGATAGACACCATATTTGAAATGGCAAAGAACGAAAGTGTTCTTAATTATCTTCCGATTTTTTCCTCGCATATGTTTTGAACACCTTTATGTTGAGGTTCGAGTTGAAGGCAAAGCTATCTAGATGCTTATCTTGGTTTACGATTGTCATGGACATTTAAATATTCATTTGATCAGTCGTTATATTTGAGCCATTCAGTGCAGTTTCCAGAAATCATAGGTATTGTTTACAGTGCCAGAAAGTGTACTACATAGCGGCTCGTTAATACAGTTTTTTTAAAATAGTATTGACCTTGTCCTAGGTTTGTTCAGACTTGGCCTAAGGTCTTTGAACACTTGCATCAGTTTTCAAGAGAGAATTCCTTCTCTCGCTCTTCCTTTAAACAGTATACAGTATGTTTGGTATTAACTATCAGCATTGTTTGGGGGTGGGGGTACTGCAGAAACACAGCTCTAGCAGCTGGATGTCCAAAGTAGGCATTATTTCCTTATTTCCTTTAACTTTAAACTTGTTTGCTTCCTATTGGTAACATCATCTTTGAATAATGTGTGAGATTTGTTTTGTAAATAGTAAAAATATAATTTTCACTTTCTTTTCAAATTTTCCAGATTTCGATAAGCATGAATAGGATACAACAGCAAGAAAAAATGTTTCTTCTATGCACATGAACATTTTGCAAAATTCTATTTTATGAAAGGAGAGGAATTTTGGAAGGCATTGAGTATACTTTTTGGTCTTATTTTTTCGAAGTATTTTAGGCTTTATGTTAAAGGATAATTTTGAATGGTGATAGATGGAAAAATAGATGGATATGTTTTCGGGAAAACAAGTGTTTATTTATTCACTTGTTTGATAGACTCTGGTAATTCAGACACTGATAGTTTCAGCAACAGACCATCGACCATTTACAGGGATATCTATTTTTGAGTCAGTGTGACCTTTGCTGAAGAATATGGCTTTTGCTTTTCAATGCAATAAAAATTTTATTCCAATAGCTGTAAGGTATTTCAATCTAGCAAATAATTGAAGGCTTGTCGGGCACTACGAGAGATACCCCATTGCCAAAGAGCAATACCTCATTGGCCTAGCAAACACGCTCACACCGAAGAACGGCATGAACAGAACCACTGACCGTTAACCTTACAGCAACATTATCGTTATTTCATATTATAGTACTTCATCCCCATTACGTTTTCATTCTACCACCACCACCCACCCTCTCTCATTCGCCACCCTTCCCTCCTCTACCATTGCACTGCATTCACACCATTCCACATCAGGCAATCCGACACCACCATCCCCTTTTTTAAATGTGTAAATTTTTAGCCCGTTAACTTTTGCTCTGATGAAGCTCCGTATGAAAGCTCCTAGCAAGAAAATGGTGCATTAGTATCCCATTTAGAAACAGTTACACGCAATCTTTATTTTAAAAGAATATTCCGGCTCAGAATTTACCAGTTTCTCAGAATCATCCAGCTTTTAAGAATATTTTAAAAACACTGCTCAGCCTTAGCTTGCATGGGTTTGTCTCTTTATTCAGCACCTGCATGTTTTGCAATGATCATAATAAGATCTGAACTATCTCATCTTCTCAAACAGCGTGGCTTTAATTTCGAAGACAGGCGATGTTCCTCGCAAAATATAGCAAATTTAAACAAGTAAGAATATTTTAGAAATATATTTAGAGTCAAAACGAAAAATTTTTAAGAATATTGAGGCTGGAAAAAGTTTAAAAGCACTCTTAAATAATTGTGAATGTATACTCTCCTCGCGAAATTTCGAATTTAGTCGCGAAACAGCTGTTAGGAAATATTATTCAAATTTCATAGGCAGCTTTCATAAAAAAGTTTGTTAAATTCCTCGAGTTTTTGCTTAAAGCTTCTTCGGCTGTTGAACAATTTATTCGTCAAAAAATTTATCTTACTGACAGTTAGCAAACTTTGAGATGAGCTTTTTATCAAGATAGTAGCGACCGAAACAAAAGAATCGACTTATGAACAGTGTCTAGAAACAATGTTAATCCACCTTTTCTATATCCGCGCGCTTATTTTGCATGAAGATACTGAGGCGAAAATTGTCGCGGGCCTTTGTTTACATATAGTTACGGCGTTTACTAGCGACTAAACACAGCACGAATTTACATCAAAAGTATTCGAAATTTTGTGGATTTGATTTCTAAACATCTTCCGTAGTCATCATTTTCGAAAATAACTTTTTTAAAAACTTCTGTCATGTATCGTGCTCTCAGAAGCTACGCAGCGTTAGGCCGGTTTCAAATATGGTCAATGGAAATTGCGCCATCATTTCTTGCAAAAATAGAAACTGCCTGCAAATACTTTGAAGAAAACAGATTTGCGACATTCATGAAGTGTTTACAAAGAATGATTGCCAGTGCTTACGTCCATTTCACCTCTTCACCTCTCCGACTTTCAAGTTAAATTCTGATAAGAGACGTGAATCGTTTTAATAAGTACAAGATGGATTTGAAAGTTCTATCTTTATGGCTGCCTCAATGCGAAATAGACCAGCAGCAACGTGATTGCATATTTGGGACATGCTTACTACACATGATTGCATATTTGGGACAAGCTGAAACAATTTTCCTTGATTTTTTCTCTTTGCATATCAAAAGCTTATATAGCGCATTAGAGATTCTTTGCGATGGTCTGCAAAAAGGTTTTAAAAAGCAGTACCTGCTGCCTTTTCCACAACCAGGGCCTTGTTTTGATAAGCGACGAATGCTGTTGCATCTAACTCGTGTTTACTTCCCATAATTTTGAGTCCTCTCAGGCTGAGGAAATTTTTGAGCTCTTTCATTTGCGAAAATCTGTCGAAATTCATCGTGCGCTGTTTTCTCGATCGGCAACTTCCCTACCCTGTTAGAACACCATAATTGACAGAGGCTTTTAAGAAACCTGCCTTTAAGATAAAAGACTACGAAAGATGTTTAAGAACAAAATTCAGAATACTTTTGATGCCAATTCAGGCAATATTTAGTCGCCAGTAAACGCCGTATATGTATGTAAACATGTATTTTTTTCACATGGTAGCTGTGGCAACTTTTTCACCCAATTTCTCGCCCCAGTCTCTTGATGCAACTTAAGCGCGCGGATATCGAAAAGGTGTATGATGGAAAAAGCTATCACTAAATTGCTAATATCATTGAATGCACAAAGACTACTGCTTTTGACATATGCAAAAAAATTGCAAAATAAGAAGCATAAACAATTTGTTACGGTCAAAAAACCAACGGCTGAACGTTCCGCCTTAGCCGATGTGCATTAAAGCTGGTTTGCGTCATAACTGCATTAAATTTTTACAGAAAGTTGAACTTTCTTAAGCTGTCGGTCAATATTGCAAGGATAATCATAGAAAATTGGGAGTTATCTTTTCAATTTTTTATATCATGCTTGTTCTGAAAATAGTTTCTTGTTTGTGGTTCATCTTGCGCCCGCGCAGTGTCTTTGGTTGTCATGGTAAATATCAGCCTCGCTTTGGCGAAACCAACAAGCAAAGTTTCTATGGAAACATAACTCAAGTACAACAGCAAACCAAACCGAACAAATTAGTAATTTCGCTGCTGTTTCAAAACGACAGAGGAAAAGATGTCTCTTCCATTTTTACCTGGAAACAATTTTACAGATCCAACTGTAAGTAAATTTTGCTTTTCAATATTAATATAATGATATATCATATGGAAATTAGATTTTCTTGTTGACCATTGTACTGTTGTACTGGGATGAGCCCAGTAGGGCCTATTATTGTACCCGACATTTGATATGATTATCGAGCGTGCAATTAAGAAATTCAAGCAATATTTCTTCCTAGGTAAAGTAAAAATGTATTTCATACAGAAAGCAAGTAATATTTTGCCAATCATATATTGATTGTTCAAGTCTTTTAGATGTAGGCCTAGTGTTTTTGCCTAGGCGCCTGTCAACGGCATTCAGGCTTGCCAAAAGGGAGTTTTGTCTTTCAAGTGATGTTATTTTGCATTTAAACATAAATTATCATTCAAATATAAAGAGAGAGTCATGCACCATTGAAACTGAATTTTTTATTTTCTTTTATTAAGAAAACCAAGTTCCACCGTTCGCAAACACTGCACTGGAATAATGGCTATTCATTGCCCCAGCTACCAACCACCGGCATTGGAGGGGAACCTTTGTCAGTAAATCAGCTGTCACAAGCAGAGCTTGACGAGCTTGCCAATTTCAAGCCATCATTAACATATGGCCAGGCAATCCAAGCCCCACCTGAAGACTTTATTCCTGCTAGTGTTGGTTTTGATAAAAAGGTGTTGCTGTTCAATGCATATTTTAAACAGACAGTGCACGAGTCTCCCAATGAGCATTTTAGGATAAGACATGTCAATATTTATTACTACCTTGAAGATGATTCCATTTCAGTGGTAGAGCCTGTGGTTGAGAATAGGTGAGAACTAAACATCTGTTATTCTTCTTGTTATGTCTTGTGCAGAATGGTTATGAACTGTTGTTCCAACAAGCATATTTTACTCTTATTGTAGATGATATTATGTAATGTGTAAAAAAAGAAATGCAGGATGTGCTGCTTGCCAGATTCTGTGAATTTTGCATTGATTAAAATGCAAATAATAGTCACATCCTGCATTTCTTACAAACAAAGATAAAACAGGACAACAAGGATCCAAAGTAGTCAAACAGAGTTTTAAATTTGATAAATAATATTATTTTCCCCCACATACAGGGCTTTGTCAGAGTAAATGAAATGAATGGGTAAAGCCCTCCAAAATGACTGGACATTTGCACTGGTCATAAATGCACATTGCTCACTCTGTTAAGTGTGCAGACATTTTTAGCATTTTCTGTTAAGTTTTTTTTGAGTTGCTAAGATACTTGATAGTACAACTGTAAATATTCTTGGGCATGTTGCTTTGGACTGTGGTCCAGGTTGGCCTGATTTCCAATTCCCTTTTAGTTCTTTCAACCTTATTAAAGTCAAAAGTCATTCTCTGGATAAGTTAGACATTCACTTAGACAGACCAATTCCTCATTCCCCTTAAAAGTTCAACTAAACAGACCAATCTGTACTTATAAGTTGTATCAGATAAGCAAACTTAGAGTCTTAGATACAGGAACTGGGGGGGAGCACAGGCTGAGGTGCCCCTTTTTTACCTATTTGTGCCACCCCATTTTTTAAATACCTCTATATTTGGAGTTGTAACTTAATTGTTTCTGAACTTAAAAGAGGTTGGATTAAATGACTAGGGGTTAGAAAATTCTCTAGAATTTGGTAAGCAAGGACTTTAGTTAATAAGGGCTATTGTGAAATTTTCAAGACAAAACTTGACATCATAAATCTCATTTGTCATTTAAATATATAGCTACTTACACAATTTAGATGAAACAGTATGGAAACTAGGCCAGATTTCTAAAAAAAATTGTAAGCAGGGAGTGGAAGTTTCTTAGAAAAATAACAAGCTGGGTCACAGACATTTGTTCCAAACTTTGTAATATACACAAAAATACTCAATTATTGTTTTGAAGAATAATAAATTGCTAAAATGATTTAAAGATTAATCTTATTTGGTAAAAGATATTCATATAATGAATTATTTCAACATGCTAAATCATTTTTATCAGTGGAATTCCACAAGGAAAACTTATCAAAAGACAGAGATTGCCAAAGAATGACTTAGGAGACCATTGGCACTGGAAAGATCTTAACATTGGAATAAATGTATCATTCTATGGGAAGACATTTTTCATCTTTGACTGCAACCTATGGACAAAGGTTTGTTTGCAGAAATTTTATCCATTTTGTGGTATTTAATCTGCCTTCTTGGTAATGTACTTGCTTCCTCTCCCATTCTTTCTTCTGCACCCCATATGTCACAACATTTGTTATTACCCCCAGAATACACAACAATGGTCTTTCAGTCTACCACTGTTTACACCTTATTCAATTGCTTAATCAATGACTGTTTGTTCTTTGTTTACATTTTATCTATACGTTGAACATGGATTTGAAGCAGCATGGTAGTCATTAAATGGAAATTTTTGTAAACACATATCTTAATCTGTGATGAGTTCCCATTCAGTCTCAATGAAATTAAGGGCTTTTTTCTATTTTCCAAAGATACTGTTTGCTTTAATTACAGTATTAAGAAATTGACAGATAATTTCACTAAAAAATCTTTTTGCATTATTCAAATGCAAACCATTCCATTTCAATCAACATTTACATTAACTATCACAAAATCAGATGCCAAAAATTTTCATGGAATAAATTTTGGTTATATTGTTTAAATTTTGGTGTGAATTTCTGTGAAAACTTGAACAATTTTGGAAGAAAGAAAATATTTCAGTGAGTAGAGAAAAAGGAAAAATCAAACATTTTAATGTCAGCCCAATAAATTGAACTGAAGAGCTGGCAAAAACATTAAAAACTCTATTTTAGAGGATATCCTATTTGTTTTATGTTTATAAGCCATTAAGGAAAAATTTTTTTTCTTGATGCTCCTGAGTTATCGTCTAAGTTTATGCTCCTTGATTGATGCTCCCTGTGGTATCATCTTTGTGGTGTATGTAAAGAAGCATGTAGTTAAATGTATCTCAGTAGTTTCTCAGTAACTTTTTGGAATGTATAAAAAATTCATCTTTTGTTCCCCTATTTGTAGGAATTCATGGCAAGTGAAGGAATTGTCCTTAACCAACCAGAGGAATGCCCAGGTGACCCTTACACAGAGTCCAGAAAACAGCCAATCAGGTCTTACAAGACACCCTCTACCTTTGACAAGCTACGTCAGTTCATTGAGCTTGACAGACAAGTCTTGCGATTTTATTGTTTATGGGATGATCGTGATAGCATGTTTGGTGAACTAAGACCAGTTGTGAGTAATTTTCTTCAATCATATTCTGCTCCTGTTGTCAAATAGCATAATAACAATAACTGTAAGAATGCTCATTAATGTTCATATATGTTACAATTTTCTCCCTACTTGATGTAAAATTTGTTTGGTTTATAAAAAGTTGGAAATCTTCCAACAAATACCACCTCCCTCTTTTTGCAGCTTTAAGATGAAAATGGGACAAAAAGGGTCACAGGGAGAAGCTGGTCAGTTAGGCCAGCACTTCTTTGTCTCTGCAATGCAGTTGTGAGCATCATGCTTAGACACATTCCTCAGCCAAACTTGTCATTTCTTATTCTGCAATAAAGGTTATTACTCCTTTGGAAAATTTGTTGACAAACTGACCTTTATTCGACCAACCTAAAAAAACAGTGGGGCAATACACCCCCTTCAGTTACAAAATCATTAGAAGTTTATTTTATACTTTCCTTTTTTTAACAACAAAGCAAAGTTTATTTTACACTGCTCTGGGTGATAATTTGTTAATGAGGCTCTCTTTTTGTCACGAATTTGAAAGTGGGGGGCCAAAGCTAGCAAAAGTAGGGAGTGAAGGCTTTTCCTGGAAGTAGGGGGCATGGCAAATCCGCCTCCTGGCTGCGTGGGCGCTGCAAATGACTGACTTTGCAATGCTAATTTATACATCGTCCAATTTTTCTCAAGTTGAGATAATGAAGCATTTAGCTTCGCTTTCTCCTTTTCCATTATGTTTTATCTTTATATCTCAAGTGCTCTAAGAGAGGCCTTTTTAAGAACACTTTTTGACGTTTTGATATATTTTCGAATTATTCGTTCAAGCGCCCAAACAATTGGTTCTATCGACACGCATAGCTGAGAAAAATTAAACTTGCGGCCAAAAATAGATCATGAATAGATCAAATCGTCACTTTGCCTTTGCAAAGGGCATACAAAACAGTCCAAAACAGTCTCCAGCGGCAGAAGCCATGCTTTCCGAGCCCGCCCCAAAGAAGATACATATTATCTGGTTAGCGAGATACAATGCCACTGTGACTGCAACAGAGGAGACAAAGTGTACTAAACAATTTAGCCTACGCCGTAGTAGGCTATGAACAATTAGGCTGTCAATTGCAAATCAAACCTTTCAATCGTTCCAAAATTATCAACAAAGTATTTACGGGAGGTCTGTCGAAAATGAATCTGTGCAATGAATGGAAAGCAACATAAGTCATAATGTATGCTTATCTTAGTTCGGATTAGGATCCAAAAGATTACTTTGACATAAGGGAGAATTAAATATAGAAAAACCAGATACGTCTATTCCAACAAACGCAACAAACAAGCTTGAGCCATGCGTTATTCTTAAATTAATTTTTTAATTTCAGTGATTTTGAGCCTTAACTATTATTATAGATGATATTTCATTTTTTTGAAAATAAGTGTTTAGCCCCAGGAGCACTGGGATTTTTCTAACCAATCTAGTCAAGGCTGTGCCTTCATGAAACTCACCAATTTCAGATTCTAAAGATACAATAGCCTCAATCAACCTCTTGAACTATTTCCTCTGGTTACTTTGAAAAAACATCAAAACTGGCCAAGTGTTAGATCAGCCTTCTTTCCATTCATTTAGACTGAGATGTCTTGAAGGCTAGAGGCCTCTTGAGCTCATTTCTCCCGTCCAGAATACCAACTAAAAAGTGATATAAGATAGACAATTTTTTTGTAGCTGTCTCTTTATGTCGGTGTCCTTTCTTTTTGAGCTTAAGACGGCTTTCTCCTAACTTTTTGAATTTTCTAGTTAATTTTTCCTAGAATCAAAATGGTCCGTTTTGGACTAAAAATTTTCTCAGCTATCACACTTTTTTATTACACTTAGCTCCGCATTAGAATCTTTCATAGTTTGCCACCTCCGCCTTAAATAAGGTATTTTTGAAAAAAGTATTGAGCACCAAACTTATAACTCGTGTTTCTTTATTCTGTGGATGGACTTTATGCTATCTATTTTACAATGCCTTGCTTTTCATTGCTTACACTCAAGTCAGCATTTCCTTGTTCAAATTTTACTTTGTATGATATAAGTGTGTTCGTTTCCTTTTCTTACTACAAATATATTTTCTGCATCAATTTGCATTGTTACAGCTCGTTGTTTTCTTTCAGATTTTCTATTGTTGCTTTTCTTCTGTTTGTGTCCCTCTTGCTATAAGTGACAACATCGATGATTGTTTCGTAAAACTCAAATAGATAATTTTATATATTATATCCCACCCCATCTGAGTCACTAAATTTGGTTTTATGCCCTATATATATGAATATTTTTATGAAAATCTTCCTCGCAATATCCTTCGTCCCTATATAGTACTAACTTCATGACCGCACCGTTATTTCACTAGTACTGTTGATCATCTTCTGTGCCACAACATCCTCCATAATTACTTCTTACTTCATAAAACTGGTGTTATTTGATGCTTTATCTCTTTTAGATTCTTCACTATTACCTTGTCGATGACACTATGGAGATCCGTGAAGTTCATGAACCAAATGATGGCAGAGACCCCTTCCCTGTTTTAATACGTCGACAGAAGATGCCAAAAGAGAGGGATAATATCAAATGTATGTGCAATTAATTCATTAATTTGTTGAAAGCTCTATCGAAACTGAAACATGTTTATGAGCGTAATGGTAGAACTCTGTTTTCATTGACATGTTGATCCAAAATTGACATTTTCTAATTTAGAGTAGTTCTTCAATACTGTTGTCTGCTACAACTGTTGGTACACGCCTTGGTGCATGATTCTTGGAATTCCTCTTCATACTGGGAATGCAACCATTAACATGTTTCCGAAAGAGAAATAGCGATTGCATAAGAATATAATTGTCAGTCTGCGTTAAATGATTGGGGCAAAATTTCATCGTATCATTCTAACATTTATCGTGAAAATATTACTCACAATTAGATATCTGTGGGGCAGGACGCTCTAAAGAAATAGCGAGAGACCAAATTCGAACCATTTTCATCGTTGCCATACCTGTTGTCAGTCCCTAACGATTCAATTCGCTTCAATTCAGTCATATTTGTATGCTATTTGTATGCTATTTGTCAACAAATGTCTGATTATATTATAACAGTTTGAATATTAAGATTACAAGACATAGAATAGCTGTTAGACGTTGTTTTATTATCATTTCATAATTTTATTTTTTGACAGCATTACTATAAGTGTTTTGGTAAAGTTTGTTCATTGATATTTTTTAAAAAGGCTTTAAAAAAAGCAAACATTTTAAAAGATTATTAAAGCTTTTTCTTCGGACACTATTCAGAGTTTAAAAACGTCAGAATCAACGTTGAAAAGATAAAGGTGGAAAACATATACCCAGTCGGGGATCTGTTGAAAAATGTTTGTTTTTGTCAAAGCAATTTTCATTTTTTGTACCGCCAGAAAATTGTTCTGATGGTATGTTTTGATGAAAAAAATTTATCAAGAACAATATAATTCTCATAACCAGTGAAAAGCCTTTTTTCTATTTGGTTAGGTTTAATATTTTGCCAGCTTTTGATTTTTAAGTAATGTGGAAAAATTATTTTTTTTATATATTTTCGGAACTTAGAGATTCAATTCTATAGTTGTGCATTTATATCCGCTCAACGCTTATTGGATTTGTTTTCTGCATTTAAAATACGTATGATTTAAAATGTTGGGCAGCTTTTTAAACATTTCAGAAAATGTTTAGTCTCAATGATTGAAATGCAATGTTTGATTTAGATAAGAAGCACATATGATATCCTGCTCATTGTTAACAAAACCAAGTTTTGCTACATTTTGAAAAAATATTCAGTATTTATATTTATTTTTTGCTATATTTACTTTGGAAAGCATGTAGAGGCCAATTTTTCAAAACCTAGGACCTCAAATGGTCGCCTATGTAGGTCAGTTGAAGATTTTCAGTCTTTTTCCAACCCGTCCTACATCTTAAAATGGCAGTTGGGCTTTGTCTTTAATTAAATATTTTTTGACTTGTCACTTGTTAGTGCTTTCCTATTGTTTTGAGTGAAAACATCGAGATCTCCCTTTACTCCTTGCCGGAATTTGGGTATACCTCTTTATTAAACCAAAATATATTAACCTTTTGTAGTGCAAAATTTCAAAAATAGGAAAAATTCTAACCATATCAGCATAAAGTTTGCTGTAAGATAACAGCATTAAATTGAATATAGCATGCTTTAATATTGTTCTGTTTATTAACAATTTAGCCTCGTTTCCTGTCGCTGTCATGGAAATATCAGAGGAAGAAGTCGATGGATGGTACACTCCAGCAGATTTTCGTATTGGGCAAACACTATTTGTTATGGGCCGGCGTTTTCTTCTTTATGATTGCGATGAATTCACCCAGTCGTTCTATCAAGCAAATTTTGGCATGACTGACTTCACCCCATACGATGTTAAAGGTGAAATAAAGGAAAGAGCACCAAAAGTGAGTGACCGCTTTAATATGTAGCAGTAGCAGTTGGCTTTAAGTATCATTCGTTTAGAACTAACTTGAATACAAGTCATCATTGGTTTAACAAAGCAAGAAATATCTTGAGCATCTTCCAAGTTTATGCCTTCTAATTTGAAATTGTGGATCAGAAATTGTAAGTTTGGTAACATAATTTTTGCTTCAACCTAAAATCCTTGCAAAAGACAGCTGGAACACAGCAATATTCACGTTCAAAATTTGACAATCCCAGATATTAACTACTTTTCCAAATCATCAATGCTGTTAATATATTATCTGCTTCTACCTCCCTCCCGTACAATGCTTCCAGCCCAAGTTAGATGGTCACTGACAAACATGTAATTTTTATTATAATCAACATTGTATTGGGGAAAGGAAAAAAACTTTGAAAACTTTGATTTTTGTGGAGGTGATCCAACAATTTCGCCAAGAGCTGCTAGAAAACCAGGCTTTGCAAGGTTTTTTACCAATATGTATTGCAAGCTTTCCATAAAGCTTTGTAAGTACTCGAATTGGCAATTATTGTCACAGAATGCCTGAAATCTCAAAGGCAGTGTAGGCTCGGATCAACAGCCTGTAATTTTCTCTAGCAACAGCACTAGTTTCAAGATCGAATATGTGTAAGTTGTGTATCTTGTATTTACCATGAAAATATCTCCTACCTTGAACCTTTGAATGTTTTTTGTCTATTTTACTTCCAATTTATGCAGATAACTGAGATCACGAATAGCTTTGATTGTACCCAAAACATCTACACTTTGTAGTTGCACTTTAAAGTCACATTTCTATAGGATTTGATAAAGCATGCTCAATAAAGCTTTTAATCTTGTATTTACCATATGAAAGTAACTGCTACCTTAAGCCTTAAAATTTGAGTGTTTTTTGTCTAATTCTATTCAAATTTGCCCAGATAACTGCGATCACGAGGACCATCTGCGCTTTGTAGTTTGCACTTTTTAAGTCACATTTCTATAGGATTTAAGAAAGCAATCTGAATACAAAATATCTTTTTTTGATTAGATACTTCCACCTTATAATGGTTTTGGCTCAATGGAAGATTCACTACAATCATGCCTTTCGCTAGTACCACAGGCACCCAAAAAGGATTTTATCAAAATGCTCGAGAACGACAACAAAGTTCTTCGATATGAAGGGAGACTGGTAAGTTAGATGTTTATTTATTTTATCTATTTATTTATTTATTTATTTATTTATTTATTTATTTTATTCATTACTTTACTCTCATTTAAAGACAATTCCCTATCAGCTATTTAACAAATTAAGGTTACGGTAAACGTCTTTAACACGATATTTCGTTTTCTCTCACTGAAAGCAAAACTATTAACGGAATCAGATTAAACTATACACCATTCGATGCAGAAGAATTTCGTGATTTCAACCATATCAAAATAATTGGCAAAGATTGTAAAATGATACTTTCCAGGCAAATTTATTGCTTAAATGAGTGAACCACCTTCAAAAGCTATTTTGTACCCTTGCGTTTGAGGTAACAAAATCTGACTTACATCAGCAGAAAGCGAAGATCCTTAGCTACCAAATTATGTCTCAGATTTTTCAAATTCCTCCTCCACTTGAAACTATACCATGTCAAAAATTGGCAAACAATTTTTCTTCCCTCTCATCGCTGTATTTGGCTATAAAAGACGGACCAGAGCAAATACAAAGATTTTGAGACACCCTTTGCTTACCCGACATCTGTCCTGGCCATGTGCAAAGTTTTGACCCATTCGATGGGTTCCTTGGGTACACAATAGCTTTTTCGTACCTGTATATAGAGGAATTGTAAGTACGGAGAAAACAGGATTTACTGATCGGACAAGGTACACTCTTAAACCACAGTATAATCCGGGTCAAGTCACTTGAAGCTTTAAAAGCAATGTGGATTGGTTAACGAGAACAATAGCTGGAACAATAGCCTAAACACAATTCCAGCGCTCCGCCATATTTTTTACAGTGCGATAAATGCTGTTTGTTTCAAATTTGGTACCATTGTGTGCCTTGAAAGTTCGGCTACTTAAGCGTAAAAAATCTAAAAATTTATGCTTTCATCCAGAAAACGTTTACCGTAACCTTAACTAAAAAAATAACTAAAGCTGCTCTTCCAAGAACTCCTTTAATCCAAGAACTCCAAGAACTCCTGTTTGCGTCGCTCTACCTCAAGAACTCCTCTAATCTTACTTTAAAGGATCTCAATGAGGCAGAGTCTCGTATTTGTTTTGGGATCTCGTCCCAGGTACTTGCTCCCTGGTATCCAAAATACTTTTTGCTGTATTCAAGACGAAGCCGAGGAATTTCGAAATCATCAATTTTTCTTGTGTTATATTTCGAAATACTCGACCTAGGAGTGAATTTACTTTTGAGGCTCTCTGGGCAGAGTCTATTGTTTACTTTGTATGGAGTAATCAGCTTGTCATATTTTATTAGATTTTGTACATTGAGCCAATCACATAACTAGCCATCTTTATGCTTTGCACATTTAATTAGTCTGCGTCCCCTGTTTTGCAACCTCTGTAGGGATTCTATTTTAGAGTTTGACAGACTTCCCCAAATGACGCTGCAATATATCAGATGGCTTTCAATTAATGCTCGACAAACAGTTGTCAATTGTTTCTGGGAAATGATGTTTTTGAGTTTAAACATTGCCCCTAAACCGTTTTTTATCCTTTGCTTACGGTTTTGAGTTGCTCTTCCCAATTCATGCTTTCGTCAATTAGGACACCTAGATATTTTGTTTTTTTAAGTCTGAACAATTCTTAAGTCTTTTGCTCTGTTCAGTTGTTTTGAGTGCCCTATCAACATAAATTCACTTTTTCAGCATTTAGGCTAAGTTTGTTTTGCCTCATCCAGGATGATACAAGATTGAGTTCGCCCTTTGTGTCGTTAAAAAGCTCGTTGATCTCTATGGAGGCATAAGAAATGCTTGTGTCATCTGCGTACATATTTGGTTTAGATTTTTTCAAACATTTTTCAAAATATTCATATAAGTGATGAAAAGTAAGGGACCCAAACACGACCCCTGTGGAATTCCGCACTGAATTAAACGCTTGTTTGACGATTTACCATCTACATAACAATACTGCTCTTTTACGGTAAGGTATGAAGTTAACCAACAGTGTGCAAAATCAGTGACTCCGTAGGCTAATAACTTCATTAACAGAACATCATGGTCGACAGTATCAAATGCTTTATTTAGATCTAAAAATACGCTTAAATTCATTTTTTGCTCATTGATGTTCCTGAACCAAGCCTCTGCCATGTTCAGTATCGATGTTTGCGTGTTATGTAGTTAACGGAAGGCGAATTGGTTGTTTGAAAGAAGACCAAAATCTTTCATATGAGAAAAAAGTTGATCATGGGCCACCTTTTCAAGCAATTTTGACAGTATCGAAACGACAAAGATTGTTCTATAGTTTGTTAACTCTGATTTTTGGCCTGCCTCAAAGATTGGTGACACTCCAAAGATCTGAAAAAATACCTGTGTCGAGGGATCTGTTAAATATTGTTGTCAAAGTCTACTTATAATATCGACAGCATATTATCGACAGCATCTTTTGATATTTTAATAGGTATTTTATCTGGACCTGGATATTTTGAGGTCTTCAGTTTGTTAATCTCTTGTTTAACATAAGATTCACAATATGTTTAAGCAAGAATTTCAGAGGACATTTGTCTTTCACCACATCTCTCCCGTAAGCCATTGGGTCGGCATCAGTAGGTGCCTCAATTTTGAATGCGAGCTTAGGCCCAATGGTTACAAAATGCTCGTTGAAGGCTTCAGCTATTTTATCTGGACGAACATACTTTCGACCGTTCAGTGTGACTAAATTTAAAGGGTCAGAAGTTTTACATTTGTTTAACACTTTATTTATCGTCTTCCACATCGCCTTTTGATTACCTGGGTTTTCTTCCATTAAATTGTGATAGTAATCTTGCACACTGTTTCGTAGCTCACTTGTTACCTTATTCCTTAATTTCTTGTACCTAGGCCATAAATTGTGATCTTTTTCAGATCTTTTCTTTGCCTGGTCACGCTCTCTCATTAATTTTTTATTAAGGGTAAAATTCAGGGTGTGTTGTTACTTGAAACGTTCCTGTGTGTTAATGGAGCATGCATCTCAAGAATCGAGCCGAAAAGCTCATTAAAAGAGCGCACCATGATGTTAGGGTCACCAGCGGAAGCTTCAAAAGCTAGGTCCCAATCTACTGATGCTAGATCCCTTAAGAAGAGGTCCTTTTGATAATTGGCTAAGCTTTAAGCTTCTATAAATTTTGTTCGTTTATTCAAGAACCTCTTAACATTAATCCTTCGTTGAATAAATGGAAGGTAATGGTCAGTCATACCTGTTTTTAGTACCTCCGCACTTAAAATATAACTTTGGCGGTTAGTTGCTATGTGATCGATCAATGTTTTTGTTACTCGAGTTGATCCATCCTCATTAACAACACTAGCAACTCTTGTGGGTTCTATTATTTGCTGCTCAAATTGGAAGTCGTTGTAAATTGATTTAAGTTGTTTCGTAGGGCCTTTGTTTGGCATTCTAAAGTAACAGTTGGTATCCCCCATCAGATAAATTTATTTCCCCTCTGCATCAAGCTTTGAAAGTAAGTTTGTGAGGGCTTCAGATTTATCCTTGTCATAATCTGATGTTGGGGGTCTGTACCAACAAAGAACTAAGAAGTTTTTTTGCGTGCAGAGGTGTAATCTCAACCCCAATTTTTCCTAATTTTGGGTCTTCAATGTGTCTAATCATTGTAATTATGACTTCACTGTTGCTAAAAGAAGTTGATAAACAACAGAAATTTGTAAAGCTATACGTTTGTAACTATGATGTTACATATGTATAGTATGGGCTAATAAGTGTCAACCCATCAGAGTTAACGACAATTGTTGGAATGTGGCCGCTTTGTGGTGGTTACCTGTGTACCGCTGCAAAAGAAAATTTTTAGAACAAATTATTTGTCCGTTATTTGGTGGTGCCCGCCGTTGAAAGGTTTTTTCCCGAACCTGACCGTTCTTGTTTAAGGTGCTCACTCTTTCAAAGCGGGTTTTGTGACCATTGGTTGCGCCACTTGGGGGGGAGGGGGCTGAAGGGATTCTTCCTCCGCCCATTTTTCAGCCGGATCGATTTTGTATTTCATCCAAATTCGCTGAAAATATATTGGGAAAGGGAATACGTATTATTTGTGATGTGATTCTTTGATCTTGATGCTGCCTTTACGTTACCAAAAGTTGATCATTAATAATGTCTGTTTATATCATACTCAAAGCCAGTGAAACTTGAAAAGATATAAATTCTGTTTGAAAATTATTCCAAACATCAGCCTATTTTCCTCATTATCAAGTATCATAACTTGATACTTGCTCTTTTTGCATCTTTTTTAATTCGCCTTTTTCAGCGATCTGTCAGACAAGAAGATAAAGACAGAAGGTTCATCATTTCTTATCGATTAGCAGATGACATGATTACCGTTTACGAACCACCACAAAGAAACTCGGGGATACTTGGTGGGAAGTTTCTCGAGAGGACAAAAGTTAGGAAGCCAGGAACTTCAATTGATAAGCCAGAATTTTACACACCTGCAGATTTCAAAATTGGTGCCACGATTGAAATATACAAGCATAAGTTTGTCGTATATGATGCTGACCGTTATGTGCTTGAGTACTTGGAAAGTTTTCCCGAAATATACCCCCTGGATACTATCAACTCCATACGAGAAAAGCACGGTCTTGAAAAGATTTCAAAAAATGAAAATACACAAAACGAACAAGGAAGAGAACCAGACAGTTATTCCAAAACAGAGTATCAGTGGAGGTTGGTATTCCTCTCTTTCATTTCAACAAAATTTTTAACTTTTGACAATATCTTCGATGTTTTTTTCAACGTTAAAAACGTGATTTAAAGATGAAAGTAATGAAAACAACTTTCTGATCTGCAAGGTAAATAAATATAAGCGAATTTCATCAATAATATTAGAGGATGATACAAATCACTCTTTGGTGCTGTCACATTTAATAGCTTATGCTCCTCCCTTTCACAAAATTTTACTCTCCAAGACCTCACCTAAAAAATTTTTATTCTAAACAAAGTTCACTATGATGATTTATATATTTGATCTGCTGGTCATTTATCAGTTCTCTTTTAAGCATAGGTTCCAGATCTTTGAATTGCTGAGAGACTAAAGTTTTCCATACTCTATTGACCGATTAAAATTGAGGAATATTGCAACAAACGTGTCAACAAACTTGATTTAGGACTGATTCAAGAATTTTTTACCAACACCTGCAAAAGAAGCGTGTAAAACATACTGAAAAAAAACCTAAAATGTTTCTTGAAAATTGGTTATATGAATAAATTTTTGTTGCACTCAGTAAATTTTTTTTGCAAATGCTATTTATGAAGGCTTGAAATTGGAAATGGAAAATTAGTTTGAAATGTTAAAAACTTTTTAACCCACATAATTAACAAATATGAGCACACCTTTACAACAAATTAATGTTAAAATTTTTACGTTTTGACATTAATGATTTTGTGACTGACGTGAAGAAATGGTACATTATGTTAAAAGAAAATGCCGCCCTTCTCTCGTAAAATTACTACAATTGTACAATTACTTTTGTGTTTAGGTATCTCGTTCGATATTTAAGATAGATGTTTATTTTGAAGAGATAAACGAGAAGCTAATGTCTACTGCCTATCCAATACTATCACTTTGCAGAAGCTGGAGAAACTCATGAATGATGAAAGGGTGGGGGAAATTAAATATGGCCATTGATGAAAATTACTTTGCTGTATTAAAAAAATTATACTACACATTTTTCTTAAAATGGATGGCGAAGAATATGAAAATTACCAACATCTCTTCTCCCAAACTTTATCTGGCCTCTTTATGTCATAAAATTTAATTTGACCTTTCAATTCTAGGTTCAAAGGAGATGGCCCTGAGTACAAATGGAGAGTTTAAAAACACTTTCTAAAAATGTATAAATATTAACTTTGTATTATAGTTATTGCTACCATTTGGATTATTAACAAATGAAGCTTTCAGTGATATAAATTTCTGTCTACTACTGTCTGTTTTTTTATTGAAAGTCCTCCTTTATGCAAATAATATTAAATCAAAAGTAATTATTGTAGCTTATGCTGGAGATACCCATCAGGGGCAGACACTTGGTCAAATATTGGGGGGGGGGGCAAGCCTATTGTTTTAATAAGATGACATCACATTTCCCATTGTTTTAGAACAAAAGACCATTGCCCTCTAAAGTATTGGGGACAGTCCCCCCCCCCCCCCCCCACCCCTCAAGTTTCCACTGCTGATACCCATTATGTACTAACTGTTTCCCATAGTATTTCTATTATCTATTGGTGTATCTCCAGTGTCAGTTTTACAAAGATTCCAACCTGGTATGCCCATTGTAAAATACAAAACAGGCAAAGGTAAGGGACAAACCAAATTGCTTCATGGTTCCAAATACAGAAAATCCTTTTGATAGTTCAAGAAAATTTCTCTGCTCATTACATGATAACTTCTTACTCTGATAAACTGTTATGATAAGAGTGAGTGGTTTATTTTTATTATGATGTAAGAAAACAAGATGTTAAAAATGAAAGAATGTTAAAAAGTTTTCTAAATATATGCTTTTCGCAAAATGAGATTGTTGTACAACAACAAACCCCCCCCCCCCCCCCCCCCCTTACAATGTATTTTACATCCAATGTACATTGTAACAGCGGTAAGACAGAACTGTCTATAATCAAAAGAGAGATTTGGATCCTGAAAAGTTCCAGCTTCTCTTAGCCAAAATAGAACTGCATTTTCAAAATATGTGGCTTCCCACAAGTTTATACATTATACTTAGGGGGCACCCCATAGTGGTTGTGGTTCACGCATTCACGCACAATTTTTTGACTTTTCACGCATTCATGGACTGCAAAATTGAATTTTCACGCTCACACAAACAATAGATGTAATATCAGCTATTGCTCATCAGAGCCCTGTTTGAAGGACTACAACCATACTTTCAAACATTGAATAGAAGGGGGGGACGCTTATTAATTTTTTGATTTTTTTCTAATCTTAATTCACGAAATCTTGCATAAACAATCAAGATTTCACGATTTCACGATTTCACACACGACATTATGGCCAATAACACAGCATGCAAAAATATGGGGGCCCCTATTTACTTCTGTCTGTCTGCTCTTGATCTCAACTTGAGTTTTTTTATGCTATAAATTTTACAGGTTTTCAATTTGTTTCTTAACTTGCTGAATTCCACTGTAAATAATCTGTTGTGTTACTAACTATCTATAAGTTATTCAGATATGCATATGAACCTGTCACAGTCAGTTTTGAATCATTCAAAGAAAAATTCCTAAATGTAAATCCCAAATGAGTGGTACCTTGATGCAATATGAATAAGTGATGTCACTGATATTAAACAGAGAAGACACAGTATGTTGTTCTGGGAATTCTAATTAGAGGGATTAATGACAATGTACACTTTAACCACAATGAGAATGTAATGAATGAGTATCTTGTGACTGAGAATGTTGTATGTTTTATTGATTTGTATAAACAGTCTAATAGGACCAGGGATGGTGTTATCAAATCTTTTTTCATTCCTTTACAGCTTAATCTTGATTTGAAGACATAAATTTATTCTTAAGGTTTACTACTATTGACACAATTGACAAATATTAATGAGGAAATGGTGTTAAATTAACGATTTGTTATGCTCAAAACCAAATAATGCCTTTAAAAACATTGCCATGCATAAGCAAAGAAAATAGCAGAACAAGAAAGGCTGTTTGTGGGCCTCTCTTGGAGAAATGCCCTGTCAAGCAAGTTGGATTAACTTGCATTCTCATTAGTTTTTAAGAGTGGCAGCATTAATATCAAGCCTCGATCGACATAGATACAACATCAGTTACTCGTATAAGAGCAGCATGCTGTTTCCCAATAGGTGTTTCCAAAGATTTGACAGCGATAGTATTGCCTTCTATGTCAATTGCTTCAAATATCCCTTTGACTTTTGTTTTTTCATGCATTTGCAAAACAGCCTCTTTGCCCTTTAGCCTGCTAATGAGCTGTAAAAATCTCAGTCTAGCGATGCCTGGATCAATGTCATTCAAAACGTCCACCATCTGCTGGTCTGATTCTACATTTTTCGAATCTTGGAGATTTTCTTCTTTCAAATCTCCCTCTTGTGCTCCAGTAAGAGAAGTGACAGCTTCATTTGCCTTATCTGAGCAAGTGTTTCCAATTACGTCTTCATTCATTATTGTTTAAAGTGCAGTATCTGTTAATAACGAAAACAGGAAAAAGTTGTCTGCTCGATGCAGAAGGTGGTAACCCATTGATTAAGGTGGCAATCACACTTATGCTTAGCATGCATAGTCAGCAGTTTTATTCGAAAAGCTGCTTCCTAGCAACCATTACAGGAAGAAGGACCCATCGACGTATAGACAGGGAATTTTGTAAAAAAACTAGCAAACTGCCTAACCTCAAATTTTATGTCATATTCTTACTAAATCGACCATGGAGATTCCAAATCCAAGATGGGCCAAAAAAAATTATCACCGGAAGTTACTGTTTTTGATGACGTCATCAGAAAATGATAAAAAATCTTTAAAAATCAGCCAAGGACTCGACCTCAACTTTCCTTGCATTTTTGCACTAAATTAACTTAGCAGATTTCAAATCTGAGATCAAATGGAAAATATCTTGAGCGGAAGACAAATTTTTTGATGACGTCATCAAATCGGAGAAAATTCACTTTGAACCCTTTTAATTGTTTTCTCGCAACTATCATTGTCAAATATGTTCCATATTCGAATAGCACACATTCAGTGTTTTTGAAAGATGTATTGAGTTACTATTATACTTACTTTTAAACTTTCTTTCATGACGTCATCATCATTTTATGACGTCATCTTCCTTTACAGGTAATTGAATAACACGTGAAAGTATGCCTAAAAATCTTTAGCTAGTTAGAAAAGTCATTCAAAATTGAAATTTCGTTGTATAGAAAATGATATGGAATCCATTCATCATTCATCACTGTCTCCTTTGCTGGAACTCCAGAAGAAAATGTAGTTCCACTCATCATCGTCTGCTTTAAGCTGATCACCTCACCATAATTTTTCCCATGGCCTAGTCCTCATTGGTTACGGAATTTTCTTCGATTTCATCACTAGAGCGCTGCAGATCTTGCAGCTTTGTAGCGGAGGGTGTGCGGGGCCCTGCAAAAAATGAAAATAATTTGTGTGAAAAGGATTTTGGAAAAAGGTTGGCTGACTCCAGTATTTTCTGCAGATATTCACAGCTTTTTTAACGTTGACGATCGAATATTTTTCTCATCAAGCCGTTAAGAAACGTTTTTCTCTGTATATCCTCTCAGTGCCATTTTTTTGTTTATTTATCAAATGCATGTTCAAAATTAGAATATATAAAGAAATTTTGCTCTTTTAAACCACGCTAATACCACCTGTAGACCAGATAATCCTTTCACTCAATTTCTCTCACTTTTGGTAATGTAACCAATAGTAAATGCGTGTGTCGACCAGTATGGATCTGGTTGTAGAGCTTCTGATTACCTGTTTTTCATTGCCTTGCGAATTCTTACTCTTATCTGCACAAGTGTTTCATTACATTTCTCTTTGTATGATTATTTTTGCACAAATTTGATCGTATTCGCGAGAATGTCTTTGCAGATTTCCTGTCTCATCGTAACTCTCTCGAGCAATTTTTCCTTTCCAGGACACTCCTAAAGCTTTTTAAAATGCTAGCTTTCCTTACAATAAACATTACCGGTGTTGTTTCGCAGCCAATAACTGCATGAATAGCCGGTAGATTTTTGGAACTATCTAAACCCAGGTAAGATACGACTTTCCAAAATTAACGTACTTCTCATTGTCAATCTTTAAGGAGTATTTCCTTTAAAGCTTTTCACACAATAAGCAGAAAACTACTTTAGTGTCCTTTCGACAACTAATAAATTTTTATCGATGAGGCAAGTATGGAATATCAAGTGGATGCCAGCCTCTTCATAGCTGCAATTGAGCAAGTATGTCGTGTCGTGGAATCTTTGATTATCTTGAAGAATTATTGTAAAGCTGGTAAACCCTTTGGATTATCTTGATCTTTGTAATGCAGAAGACTGCCAAGCATCACTAACAGCAACAAAAGCCTTGAAATGGAATATAAGATAGGTTTGGTGCGGGTATAACACTTTATCTCTGCGATAACCCATTGCAAAACTCGGTTACCATTTGATAACTTGTCAAGAACATTTTGTATGATCTGGTGTGGTTCTTAATGTATCAAACTTACTTTGTAAAGCTAGTTCAAGGCTTTACCAGAGCCAAAAAGGAAAGCAGTTAATTTCAAAAGCACTCGTGTTTACCAAAAAAGAAGAAACCTTCAAGATAATCAAAGATTCCACTCTGATTAAGTTCAAGACCGTTTACTTTTGCTCTGATGAAGCCCCGTATGCCGGGGCGATTTATTGGCCATTACTGATTTTTATGTATGTTTATTGTTGTATATTCTCGGCGCGTTGCGGTGTTTCTTATTTACTACATTATAATCGATATCTTGCCGCAAGAATTTTATCGGAGTCTGTCGAGCTGCCTGCTATTGCGGCCTTTTCATTATTCACACACTAAGTATTATTAGCCGGTTTCAATAAGCCATTTTTCAGAGACAGCTTGAATAGATTAAACCTGGGGGGCTGAGAATCACGTTTAGTGATGTAGGAGGACCCACCGTGGTTGGGGCCGACGTGAAAGGAAATTTTTGAAATCATACCTTCTAAATAGCTATAAAAGCATTTCCCTGACCAAGTTTCAGAGCCTATTTTAGTGTGCATTATTGCACACTTTGTGCAGTATTAATTTATAATAACGTCAAATCAAAGCTTGAAAAATGTCTTGCACTTTCACTTCGTTGCGATGGATCAGTTGACAGAAGAAGAATTGACAACTGCCATGTTATTGCAAAAATTATCAACCAGGAAGGGAAATTAGAGGTTCTGTTTCTCGGGCTTGCAGAGCCAAAAGACAGGGGCACACAAGGATACGTGCAAGCAGTGAAAGATGCTGTATCCATAACTTCGAATTGGAAATCGGTTGCAGAAAAGATGACTTCACTTGTAACGGATGGCACCAACCTTAATACAGGACATAAGAAAAGTCTCTGGGCAACCTTAACTGAAGAACATACAGAATTTGGCTTGCCATTGATAAAGGTGTGGTGCGCCGCACACAGAATGGACTTGGCTTGGAAAAGCGTTTCCCAAAGTGTGCAAGAAGTTAAGTCGATATTTTCGACACTTGTTTCTATGTCTTCATTTTTTCATATGTCCGGTTTGCGTTCAAGAGAGCTTAGGCATATCGCCAAATCAGACTCACTGCAATTTCGCGAGCTTCCGAAACTGTTGGAGTGAATTTAATTCCTCACTGTTGGAATCTGTCCTCGTTTCTTGGCGGGCTTTGTTGTTTGTTTTTTCAAGATATCACAAGAAAATGCAAGATGACAAGTTCAATTTAACAGGCTTTACCTCCTCTATCAATCACGAGTTGATTGAGGCTGGGAAGCTGCTTTTTACAAAGATTTTGACCAAGAGAAAAACATTTTTCACGGTGAACAATTGAATGAGAAAAATAGGAATCCAAGAAGAAATGAACACCATCGTTACGTAAGTGAATCTTCGCGAAGTTTTCCAGCTGTTCGCTATGAAATATTAGAATCGTTAAAAGTTTCATTAAAGAGAGGCTTTCATATGACGAAATGCTCAGCAGCATGCTAAAGAAATTTATTTCTTTTCGTTCCAATGATAATGAATTAGTTAATGTTCATGAAAAGATTGCAGCTGATCTTTCACTGCCCTGTTTATCGGAAGAGTATATTGATGCCAAAAATATACCTGCATTGAAGTCATTGTCATTGTTAGAGTACTTCTCCAGAATGAAGGAATTCGGCACTTTGTGCACTGTATACAGGACCGTCGAGAGGGGGGGGTAACCAGGGTAGTTACCAGGGGGCCCGGGGCCTTGAGGGGCCCGTATAAAATAAGGTATGTATTTTTGGCTATGAGTTTTCAATTAGCAGCATTGGCAGGGCGGGCCCATGACCCGATTGATATTCGAAATTTATTCTTTCAACAAGGGATCAACAAGCTGGTCTATGATGAGGGCCTTTTTTTGTTAAGGTTTATAATTAAAACATTGACGATACGATCACAATATACTTCTCCGGAAGCCGAAAAATTCGATTGCACTCACATATATCTACTTTTAGGTCAAATGTTTTAGTTATTCCTTGTGTGGACTTCCTATAAACGTAAAACTAAATCTTCCATTCACGGCGTACACCAGAGAAAAAGCACATGCGAAGAATCAAGACAAATCCAAACGCTATAAAAGTCTTTATCAAAATCACTAAGCGGGATCACGATCCAACCAACCCCTGCGATGTCATCTTACAGGCACAAGTCTGGTGCTCAGAAAAGGCAGGAAAAAAGATGCGAGAAAAAGAAGCAAAGAAAGCCTCTCGCACATTGTTTGAGGTAGGTGCTTACAAAAGAGACAAGGAAGGTGATTCAACTTTGAATAAACCTGGTGAAAGCTCTGTTCAAAGCACTGCTGAAGAAGAAGAAGACACAGACGACTTGGCTGCTTCGGTAGACCATGACACCACAGAAAGTAGAGAAAGCACTACTGATTCATCATTAAATCAAGATACTGTTCATAGTGGATCATCTAGTTTTGATGTCGGCACATTGACCGGATTTCCAACGATAAAGGAGTTAGAAAAGGTTGTTAGAACTGGTCATTTGCCTCATCCTCCAGAGTTTCCCAAAGATTGCGACGGCCACAAATTTCCAACAACTGTCCTTAACGTGAAGCAGCAAAATTGGGAGGTAGTAAGAAAAAGCTGGCTTGTTTTCAGTCCTACAAAGGCTGCACTCTATTGTTTGCCATGCACACTATTAATAATGGTTCAAAATCAAAATTGGCTTCTCCTGATGGTTGGGGAGCGAACGACAGCTGGAAAAGATTGTGGGAAAAGATTAAGGATTTCGCCATGAGGAAAGCAAGAAAAGCAGTTTTTTAAACATTAAATTAACTCTGATTTTTAAACTGATTTGTTTTAATGATTTGTTTTATATAGTCACTAATTACATGTTCTGTTAAAGACCTTAAAATACAAATTCGAGTGTTTCAGGGGCGTTGATTTCAAAATTCATGCCTTTTACAGTCCATCTAACTGCATTGCT